AGGTTTTCAATAATTTACCATTTATAATGCCTTCATCATATGCTTCTTTTCTCTTGGTGCTCACAGTTTATCCCTTCAAATGAAGCATCAATGTTTTTACCACCAATTTGCAAAGATATGAAAAAGATAATTGTAGTTTCTTCTGAATTCTTGGGTGGTACATACCTGCAGATCTCACTTTCATGAGTTTTTATAACCCTTTATCAGAATCAGTGATCAAACAGGTAATAGGGAAAATCTCCATTTCTATTTCTTCATCCCATTTTTGGGACATTTTTTAGAATCCATAATTTTACTCTGTGTGATTTGGAGGAGGATACCTGAACTTCATATTTCCTATGGCTCGAATGAAATGCTCAAAGAAAGCAATAAGAAATGTCATGTTAAACAATTGTATCATAGGCTGGAAAAATCTTCTCACTTATCACCATTTTAATGTACCAAATTTAATAGACCATCTAGTTTTGATGAATCTCCATTTTCTGAGGAGAAACAGGAATAAGTAAAATAAGTTACTGAGACTTCACAGTTTGTGGTATGAAGAATATTTTTTATCTTTTAATGTGATTATTTTCTAGAGCATCATTTAGTGTGGGAGATATTTTGCATGTACTTGGTGTAGGGGGATAGAATACAAGAAAATCAAGATAGTGTAGAAAGTAATCTCACCCCTAAGGAGTTGTAGCTAGGCCAGTTATTAAAGATTAGGAGCAGGCCTGACTTTACCAGGCCACGGCTGTAACCAGTGAGAAGAAGAGTGCTATAAAAGAGTGGGGTGGCTGGGTGAGAGGGGAACTGGAGTCAGTTGGCTGCTTTGTGAAGAAGGAGGAGTCAGTGCTCTGAGGAGATGCCCACAAGAAACACCAAGAAGGTATGAAACTTTTGTGCTAAGGAGACAAACACTATGGAGCTCCTGCAATAAGATGGCAACATACTTGGGATAGAAAAATGCCTGCTCTTCTTAGTGGTGTTTTCAATCCCTTGAACTTTTTCTCATGGCCAAGTTTGGATCAATTTAAGGAAAACTTTCAAGATAGGGGCCCTGTCTTGTTGCAAACCAGCACAAGTGTCCTTGAATAGTGAATATCTGCTGATTTTATTATTAGACAGCTTTCCTCATCTTTGAATAACTCCTGGTCTAACCCCCAGCATAAATGGTTGGGAAAGGGTTTTTCCCCCAGGAAGGGGAAGGTGCAGAGAGAAGGCCTTTAACTCTGCCAGTGTTTTGGGTGTTGTACCTGCAGAGAGCTGTACTGTTCTGGCAGAGAGCATCTATAAATGTCTGTTGGGAGTGAAACATCTCCCAGGGCTGTCACTGGGGAAGAGGGAAGGCAGAAGGAAAAGCTGCTTGTTTTGGGGTGGGGATAAAACTGCCGGCGTGTCTGGGGAGAGCCTGCTGCTCTCTTGCCTCCCGGCATCACAGCACAAATTCTGGCTGTTGCACTCCTGTTTCCTCTGTTCATCCTGTGGCCATGCTGGTGGCTCAGAACCTTTCCTAGAGTGCTGGCAGCTCTGGCAGCATCCCTGCTGGCAGAGCATCCTGCACGGTTTCCTTGGAAACACGGCGCTGAAATGCCCTGCGAGGAGCAGCAGGGAGGGGACAAGGAGTGGAGACAGTTGCTTTGGGATTTTTCCCCCTCTGTGGGAAATCAGGACTCTTGGATAACTAACTAATATGATTAAGTAGAAGCTGTTTATTGTTTATGTTATGTACTTGTTTATACATTCTGACTTTACTGCACACGCTGATCACGCATCTCTTGACTGATGTCTCTATCTTGTTCACATGTTCTGCATGCACTTCTTCAATCACAGAGTTTGTGATTGGTTTCAGTCCAGCTGTTTCACAGCCCTCTGTCTGGTTATCTGTCTCTCTTATCTAGTTCTTCTGGTCTTGGTATTCTGTTTCTCAGCCTCTTCTTTCCTAATTTAGCACAATTCATGTCTTAGTAACCTTGATGAATTCCAGAGGGTGTTGATGAGAATAGCTAGGAAGGGTTTGCTGGGGCACACAGTGGCCTAGACCTTGCCAATAGATTGCTACACCCCTTGTAGTGCTCTACCTTCCAAAGCAATATCAAATATGTGAGCAGCCTAGTCCAAGCAGGAGTGTCAGGGTGGGAGTCGGGCTGGCTGCTGGAACAGGCTCACAATTGTGATGTGGGCTGAAACAGGGCATGAGTGGCCTAATAGGAGTGGTTTAGAGTCCAAAATTTATTTCTTGCTCTTCATAGCAGTGATCTTTCAGCTTTTGATAATGTCTGCAAGATCTCTTGGAGTCCTGTGGTCACTTATGAAGCTGAGACAGAGAATCTACACAAAGTCCTATGTTTATTTGGAGGAAAGCCCTCCCTGCTTCTGAGGTAGAGAAAGAAGGAAATGTTTTCCACCTACACTTTCTCAGTGCTCACCCCTCTTTGAACTCTATAAATTACATTCTGGAAGGGCAGGGTTTGAGCCTGTTGCTTACTGAGATGTCTGCAACAATAAATTATTCTAATAAAGCAACAGCTGGAGCTTTATTATTTTGATTGCCACTATTGCCAAGGGCACACAGCTTATTTCTGCTGCAGTTCCACAGGCTTCAATGGAAAATGGACCAGGAAAAAAATGTTGTGTTCTTATGGTATTTACTCTGGTAAAATATGGGCTTCTCAAGAGATGTAAAAATTTCAAGTGATAACCCAACATTTCTGTCTTTTGTCAATGTAAAGGAAACTGGACCATTTTTGCAAACCCTGGTATTTTGTTCTACCTCTTAGAAAAAGTTTTTGAACTAATCCAACTTGATGTAGTGACTTTTCATCTGTGGTGACAGATATTTCTCTCAGTAAGAATGCAGTATTATTGAAATAATTGACTTTATTAAAATAAAACTGCTAAGTAATGTGTTTCTAAACCTTCATGTCCATATCTTCTTGCTCATCTTTCTAATCTGTCTGCAACCAAGTATAAGAAGAAATCCTCAAAAGATTCTATGGGTAAAAGCTTCTTAAATAATGATAGGGTTGTCAGTGCTAGGTGGTCCTAACTTGCTTCAAAGCATTCTAATAAAGAGTTCTGGTCTTAAGAAAACCTGGGACATAAGAATGGGTACAAATCCAGGGAAACCTGGAGCTAACCCCTTGGTGCAACTATATCTATAACAGTGTTACTGTGCTATATTTGGCTTGAATTCAGAACAGCATTTGTTAGGCATTTGCCTATGGGTTCTTTGTGTTCTTTTGTCAAGTCAGAGAATGGAATCCTTTTCCTTTTTCAGTCCCAGTTCATTCTGATGGCAGATTGGTGGTCCTTCCCCCTGCTCCTGAGTGTCTGTGCTTGTGCTGTGTAATAGGGCAGCCTGGGACCTGTGTGAGGTGAGGGAAAGAGGGTAATTAGGGAGCTTAACACAGCAGCCTGGGAAGCTGCCACTTAGCCTCGAGTTCAGCACCTTGCAAGGCTTCTGTTTTCCCAAATAATCCCTGACTGCACCCGGAGGAGTGGTGGGAAGCAGAGGGGAGCAGACCCAAGCTGCAGCTGAGAGTGCTGGCTCTGCAGTCCTGAGGAGCTGAACAAAGCTCTCTGTCTTGCTGTGCCTTCCCATCCCTCCCACCCACTTTGTGTTCCTTATAGCACTGAAATATCATTCTATAGGAAACAGATTCTGCAGGGGGAACATCTGGCTCCTTAAGGCTCAAGCAGTTGCTTTAAGATTTCAAAATGTTCTTTATCATAATTTATTTCTTGTAATAATTTCTGATGGACTTCTGAGAACAGGCCAGGAGGATACTCAAAGTGGACTCCAGGTTTATGATTTTTAGAGTGGCATGAAAAAAAGAATGTTGCTTGATGGGGAACAGGCTGCAATTTGTGCAGTAGGAGCAGGAGTTTTGGGTAAAGGAAAGGCCTTTTAGGCAGAAAATACAGGTTGTAGGTGAGTGACAAAGGGACAAAATAAACTAAACTATCAAGTAGAGTTCATATTATAATAGGAATTTTCTCGCTCTCTGGCCATCCTGTAGGATGGAGGCTGGCTGGTCTCCACATAATATATATAAATGTAAATATTTTTGATTTTTTGTAGTACTGCTTTTCTTGGGCCTTGCCAATTGGTGCACAGCTCTGAAGAAACAACTTGCTTACTCTTTTAGCCAGCTGCAACCTTCAAGTGCATTTCCAGCTGGAATTTCTCTGTATTATGGATGTATTTGTATTTATGCCTCCAGCTGGGGGCATGCTCCAGCTACATGTCAGCTGCACTGGTTAAAGCATGGAAGTAGTCATTTTTCCCACCCTTCCTCCCAAGCTCTGCCTCCCAGGACTTTCTCCTGCTCCTTGGCAATGTTCAAAGCCCTTCGATCCTGCTCTGATGTTCTTTTTCTCTCTGCAGACTTGCCCTTGGTCATTAGGCAGCACCAATCTCAGTCATTTGTACCACCCTTAAAAGCTGTGCCACAGAGGTGCTGTGCCTTGGGGGCTCTGGCTGGCCTGGAGAATCAATAAAATCTGTTGGGATTGTGTCAGGCTGTCGTTCCATGGAGAGTCCCTCAGCTGTGCAGATGAGACTTTGATGGTCATAATCGAAACCAGAAACTTTCCCATCTGATTTCTGATGTCTCTTTGCCAAACCAAAGGTGATTTCCTTGGAGGACCAGCCTGTAGTTAGGCAAAAAAATATTGATTTGCATATTCTGGCTATTTTCCCAACATTTCTGACATCTATTGCAGATTTTTCTTCTTTCTTTCTTCTTCTATTTTGCCTCTTAGCTATAAAAAACCCAAATATTGGACACAAAAGTTTTTGCTACTGAGAATGTGAGTGGAGCTTTAAAACTTGTGAATGGTATGATTCATGATCTCCAAGAAGTTCTCCTTATTCATTTGATATATCTGATGCCATAAAAGAATATCTCCAAAGCCAACATTTTTTTTCCAAAATGCCTTGAAACTAGATTTATTCACTGTGTGGGAATATTAAGAAATACAGAAGTATTGAAAATTCTTTTTTCTCTGTGCAGAAACACGAGCAGATAGAACAAAGAAGCTGTTTAGACACTACACTGTTGGATCCTATGACAGCTTTGATGCTTCAAGGTAAGAATTTTTCCTTTTGGTTGCAATCTGTTTACAAAACCTTCCCTGGTTTTATTTAATTGTTACTTCTGGTTTAGGCTTTGGAGGGGAAGAGGGAAGCAGATCACTAAACAGAACTTCTGAGGGTACCATTTTACTTTTAAATTGGTTTTTATTGCAGTTTTCTTTGTTCATATGGGATGGGTGTAGAAAATTCGGGAACAGTGAAGTCATCAGTTTCACTGTTTTGTTTTGGGAGTGGTGAAAGAGATTTGTTGCTCTGAACAGTAACTTTGGAAGCTGAGTAGAACTGAAGCTGCTGGAAATGAGAAGTCAGATTATTTATTTGTGGAGAATTCATGATTTTAAGCAGGTTCTTCTCCCCCATGGATATACCTTGAACATACAGGTGACTGCTGGTAGAAAGGATGATCTTCAAAACACAGAACCTCAGTTAGCTTTTGCTGTCTTCTTGAGGAAGTTTTGGTGGCACACTGAAATTATCATGATTTTCTCCTGAGTGTCCAATTGCAGCTTGGGTTTGGTTTTTTTGTTTGTTTGCAAGGAAACCACATTTATTGTAGGAGAAAAACTCTGAAATGTGTAAAGCAATGGCACAGTTTCATGTAACACAATACTAAAAACAAAAATATAAAAATATGGTAACTGTTGGTTTTGTTCTGTGATTTTAGACTTTGTTCTGAGGTTCAGACATAGCTTCTATGTGAGTTGAAGGATTTGGGGAGGGAGTTCCCAGCTGGACATGATGTGATTGACTGGGGGAGTCTGATGGTGGTAAAGTTGTCAAGAGAAGCTGTGAGCCCATGCTCTGAGACCAGCTTTGCAGAGCAGACTCAGTGGCTACTGGAGACATCTGCAGTGAGAGGAGCTGGCTTTTTGCAAGGTTCTTTGATCATTAGTCTACAAAATCCATATCCTTGTCTCTGTATTTCAGTGTGAATGGATAGGGTTGTTCCTGCAAAAGAGAAAAGCTGTATCTGCTGCATGTTGCCTCAGAGATATGAAATAATTCCACTTGGAAACCTCCTGCTACTTTCTAACAAAAGATTTTTTTCATTAGAAAATGTCAATTCCATCGAAACCTTCCTTTCCACCTTTTTTGAGGGGGGGGGTGGGGGGTTGTTGGTTTATTTCTGTATTGTTTTGAGGTTTTTTCCAAAGGTATTAGGTTTGTCCAGTGCAACAGTAAAGCTCTCAAAAAATGTATCTTACCTGATTCAGGACTGAGCAGGAGAGATAATCAGGAAAAAATGAACTTTTGTACAGCCTTATATAAATTAGTTATGAAGTGTGTCTGCAGTTGATATCTGTTAATTGTCTGAGTAGAGAGAGGGGCAGCAGCAGCATTCTCCTGACAAGGTTGGGAAAAAAACTCTCCTTGAGTTTCCACAGAGAATCCAAGACCCAGTGGATCCATTTGGAAGGGTAATAGTGGAAATTGAGAGGAAAAGGTAGGAGAGGGCAGAATTGATATGAAATTCTAAGGAATACAGTGGAAAAGTAGACTTGTTTAAGACATTTTTTCAGTAGAGAATGGTAAATCTAGGCTTTTTGTAAAGTAACACCAGGAAAACTAAAGAAACCAATAGCACACCAAGTTGTGTTTCAGGTACCTGACTGAGGCTGCAAATCAGCTTTTTGTACCTCTGAATGGTGATTTCACTGGTGCTTGTGCGTTGCTGCTAAAGCAAAGAGAATTTGCATTTCAGAACCGGTCTGGAGATTAATGCCTCTTGGTAGTACATCCAGATTTAATTCCTCACAAGGGCTTCTTCAGGGAGGGGAATTATTCAAAGAGGCAAACAAGGTGTGAAAGTGAGAGCAATTTTTGATATTGCCAGATTTGTATTGCTTTGATTACTTTCTCTGTTACCATTTCGTATCAAAGTCGGGGAAGAATATGTTAGAACAGATTTAATGCTGGCAGCAAAGGTTTCATAAACATTTGTCAGAAGACAATTGTGCCTCTGTGCTAAGAACAGCTCTGAATCCAAAGTACCAACAAAGCTGATCCAGTTCCTTTCCAGAGACTGTGTGGGGGAGTGAGGGGAAGTGTCTGCTCCCTTCTCCCTTTCCTTCTCCCTCCCAAAGGGCAAAAATTGCTGAGTAGAAACACTCTGTTCAGAAATCTATATTAATGGGCTTATTCACATGCAGGAAAATACATTGTACATGGCATTTTTCATCTTGAGGAAAATGTGCAGCTTGAGTAATGGAGGCTCATTAAATCCTATTTCAGCTTTGCATAAGAGATCAGTTATCCATACATTAACTTTGGGAAAATGGGGGGGATGCTTACTAATGTGGAGAAAGGCACTGAGACTTGCTTGCCGGTGCAAATAGTCACTAAATATCATACAAATATAATGTCTTATTTGAAACTACCAGGTCTGATGTATTATCTGTTTTAAATGCTGATGAATGCCCTCAAAAGGGAAGAATTTCTTCTTAATGTCTATCCTCTTTCAGTTTAAATCCCCACTCCTTGTCCTAAAGAGCAGATACACCACTGAAACTGCACGGAGATAATGCAGAACTGCTCTGCCACATCTCTGAGGTTCTCTATCTTCCCTGCATTTGTCAGCAGTTAATTCAAATGAAATTATTTGTAGGGTGTAAATAAGTTAATTTATCAAGGTTGAATTCCAGTTTAATAATAGAAAGTATTGCTAAGGCATAGAATGGATATTTGAATTTAAAAAAAAATATTTATTTTTTAAAAACTTAAAGCTAAGGTAAACCTTTAGAAAATTACCATTTTTTACCTGCTTTTTAACTGAAGTGAGGGAATTGATTAATTCTTTCAAGATGGGACAGTGGATTGTTCAGTCAGGAAAATATGTGGAATTAATTAGTTGTTAATTTCAAATATAAAATGTTATCACCCTTTTAAATGGAAAGAGACTGTTAATACAGTGATAACTTAGTTTTATACTCTGGAGACATAAATGATATGAGACATAGTGTGGTGCTGTGTAAAAGTGGTAAATTTGGTGCGGTGGAAAACATGATCCATTGCCCCCATGAATTTGGGAACTTTAGGACACGACAGTGGAAACTTTTCCCGCTGCATTCATTGCATCATCTCCCACCCCCAGCAGAACAGGGCAGCAGGAAAAGTCAATACACAACTGAATGCCAACACCAGTGTAATCAAATCTGCACATGAATGGGAGGTCTCCTGCCTGTTCTGTGTCTTTCCCCACAGAGTTACTGACTTTCACAGGGGGGGTTTCTCCAGACTCTTTAACTGGTTCCACCCCTGCATGGCAGAAGTTTTCCTGGTGCTTTTCTTTGATGTCCCATGGCTCCAGCAGCATTCAGGAGCTCACAGGAGAGGATGTGATGACAAATAACCTTTTCCAAAGGCTGGTTGCCACCACATTAATGACAGGACCAAGTTGATTAGCCTTATGGTTTTTGTTCTGTTTTTGTGGAGGAAGACCAAGAGGAAAACAGGATGGTGTAATCTGTAAAAAAACTTAATTAATGGCTTAATTCATTCACCCTACTGTCCCTACTTAGAGTCAAGTGGCAACATCCATGTCCCACGAGTGTAGAAGATGACAGGAGCAGCTCTTCAAAAGCCAGTTTACATACAAACGCCTAATAAAAAATGGAGATTCTTCTCAGAAGTTCTTTCCAGGCCATTCTCTGTTGCTGTTGTCATCTGTGCTGTTGGATAGAGCAGCATAAGATTTATTCCTGAGCAGCTCACAGAGACTCCTTGGTACAGCTGAAGCTGTCTGCCCCTGCAACTCAGCATGCTGTAGACAGCTTGGTTATATTTTTAATTTTTTAGCCCACAGAATGTGCCTGTTGGATACCTTTGTCCCAAGGTTGTCATGTAAGTGGGGCTGTCTTGGTGGTTTAAGCATTAGGTGTGTTCCACATCTATTTTAGTGGGAGCTTTCAGTCCTATGCAGAAATACTTTCCTCTGGTTTCATGTGGATATTTCACATAAATAATCCTCCCTCTGGAGAAATGCAGTTGCTCATCTCTTTAAATATAGATTTTAAAATAATAAAATATAGATTTAAAACAGATGGAAAGTTTTAGTGGAATTCTGGCCGTTGCAAGTGGTGAGAAATGTAAAACTGATGGGGAGCAAAGGGATTTTCTCCTTGATTATGGTGGCCCTGTGTCCCTGGGGTGGGGAATTTGGCTTATGTGCTTGCTGAGTGCTGCTTGCCTGGCAGCAATCCACCAAATCCTGGCAAATAGATCCTTACAAACATTGAGAGAGAAGGTATAAGAGCTGTTGTTATATTTTATGTCCTGCTTCCCACATTTTCATGTTGGTTCATGTTGGTTCTGCCCAGGTAGAACAGTGAGAGCAGTGTTGTTACATGGAAAATAAATGGGATTGTCTGAATTGGAGTAAGAACTAGATGATATGGGATTGGAACTGAATGGTCCTTAAGGTCCCTTTCAACCCAAACCATTCTAGGATTTTGTGAACTGCTATTTTGTTTGTTTGTTTTCTGTTGGATATCACCAGTTCCATTGTACTAATGTTTCCTGGGAAGTTTGTACTGTTCAGGAGATCTCTTGAAGGAAATGGGAATAAGGAGATTAAAATGGTGCTGCTCACTCTTAACAATAAATCCACAATCTGGGATTGACACATTGATAATAAGTGGAAAGTGATTTTACAGCTGATTTTACCTGCAGGCATATATTTTAAACATAGTCCTTGGTTTCCTCTGGTGGAAATAAGTAAAACCAGCAGCATTTAACTTTTTTACCTATACACATAGCTCAGTTTTTGCCTAGAAAATGGTAACAAAAATATCTGAGTATGCTCATCATTGTAATTAAATATAACCCTGTGAGAGAGTGATGTGGTTACATCTGAAAGCTCTCTGAAATTTTAATAATTTAAAATCTCTGCAGATGTGATATCATGGTTCTTTTGGGCACAGAGAATGGTCAGCACCAACCAAATTGTAGGGAAAAAAAGTATGTAAAATGTTTTGTGTGCATGTAATCTCACCTT